CATGGGGGGGGGTAGCATATATATAGAATACTTGCTGTTGGAGTTTGTGGGGTTTTTTACTGCTTACATCTGCTTACCTACCGACCCTCCTAAACCATGAAAGGGGCTGCGGGAGGCGAGCAAATTTGCAACATGCAGTGTCACATGTACAGTAGCAGTAAGTTTAAACGCTGTAGCGCCAACCGCCTCGGCCTGGCGCAAGTGGTCCGCAGGGGGGAGGGTTCTCCAAACTCTGAGCAAATGCTCGTTGCGTCCATGATGTTAGACCAGCTCGCAAGGAAAACGGCGCAGCAAAAGGAGTTTGAGCATCCTTGTTGCTTTGTAAACTTCTTAAAATGTGCCAGGGAGCCTGGGGCTCATTGCTCTTAGAACTGGCAGAAGAAAAGCCTGACAATGAGGGTCGTTGGCAGGGGGATTACAGGTGGGGGAATAGGGGATTTTTGTGGAACTCAGACCGCCGCAGCCGGCGCCGAGGCAAATTTATTAGGCCCTTGAACTAGATCCACTTTAAATCCAATGTCCTGTAGGTGTAAGCAGAACATCGAATTTCGGCATAGATGGCAGTTTCTCGAAATAATGGGTCCGCTTTGGGCGCTTTCCACCGGTCATGGTATCTTGGCAGATGTAGAGTCTGACATTGATGTCGAGATGTACTGTCAGAGGTCCTACCCTGCACTGTGGAGTTTAATTCAGCATCTGCATCTACAACCTTCAATTCACTTTTTAGGGTTTGCGTGGCAACCTCGCCAGGTGGATTGGGCATTTGTGCTATGCAATGCAACATAGTCTTCAATCATTACATTAGCATTGCGCGGGTCTTTAGGGTTTGAGATTTCGATTTCCGTTGCAGGGTTCAGTTCGCTGTTCTTTCCCAGAGTTGGGTTTGTGTTGCGAACTTTGGTGCTTTCGTCCATTTGTCGCAATATGATCCTGAAGGCCCCGTGCCCTCATGACGCCTGCCCTGAGGCCCACACCCGTCTTGAGGGCCTGTCCCACCCCCAAGACAGGTGTCCTGAAGGTCCGGAGGGGGGCCGTCAGGACAGGCGTCCTGAGGGGTCCCAGGACTTTTGGAGCCACACAATGCATGTAGATTTGTGCAGCAATCTGAAGAGTTAGGGTTCCCGCAATCAGTCAGAATAGCTGGGAGGTTGGCGTCGCCACGCGCATCCGCGTTGCGGAGACCCGGTCCTCATCAGCGACGACAATGTGCTGCCCAGCGCCGGCCATTCATTCAACGGGGCAGAGGTTGTATAGCCTCACATAGGCATTATTCTATCAGGGGTTCTAGGGGGTTCTAAGGGCTTGCGCAAGTTTTGTAACTGTTTGGCGGTGGCTGCTTTTTATAAGCCGGGCGTTTTCAGGGATCCTACTAAGTACCTTCACGCTTCATTGCTGTGCATATTTGAGCGTGGGGGCTGTAGCATTTCGGGGATTGCATTCAGCCCAGGGTCTAGCACTTAGCATGAAGGGTTTACCCATTAGGGCCATTAAGGTTGGAGGTTTGACGGTTTGACGTTTGAAGCTTGGTTGTTTGGGATTAAGGTCGAGCGAGGAGGTTCCATAGGAGTCGGAGTCACAACGGCATTTAATCATATGCTTGTTGCAATTGTTGCTTGATGTTCCCAACAACCAGAACTTGTTTTAGCAAAAGTGCATGAATGGGAGAGGCTTAAAAAGTTGATGAGGGAGGGACCAAAAAATGATGAAGGATCAAAACTGATTTGAGAATACCAGCGAAATACAATATTTAGGCCCTCCAGACTCTCCAGCCTTCCCAGGGCCTGCCAGCCTCCCAGGGCCTTCAGGAAGGAAGGAACAAAGAAAGAAAACTCCCAGGAGACACGGAAACAAGGGAAACAAAAACAAGACAGACTGCTTTCGTGGTAAAAAGAAGCATCACGACGTCACCATGTTTGCAGCAAAGGACAGGAAGGCTCTGCGGATCATGTTGTTTGCAAGGGGGGGGGGGGGCTGGCCCCCACCAATCCCCCGCTTTTTGGCGCCGTCCATGCTCAGGGCAAAAAAGAAATCATGTCATCACCATGTTTGCAGTACGGGAAGTGAAGGCTGTGTCGATCATATATTGTTTGCAAACCTTTTAGTGCCATCCATGCTTGCTGTAAAAGATGAACATCATATCATCATGCTGTTTGTTGTACAGCAGACACCGGCAAACTAGAAAATGCAATTCTGGCGTGCTAGAAGTTCACAGCATCTGCAAGGTCGCAAGAGTTCCATATGTTGTAATAGAGAGAAGCTAAGACGTTCCAAATGCTGTAATTCACCGTATCTCAAAGCTCTACAGATGAGCCCCAAGCGTTGTGAATCTCAATAACGGCATTCTCTAAGAAGTTCCAAATGCTGTAATTCACAGTATCTGATGCTTCGACGCGGCCCAAACACTGCCATTTACAATGTCTGCAGCCTCCACGCGGCCCAAAACACCTCAGTTTACCATACCCGCAACCTCTACGCGATCCAAAATACTGCAATTTTCAGTACGTGCAGCCTCTACGACCCCAAATACTGCAATTTACCTTATTTGCCCCTGATCTTTTAGCTTAGAACCCAAAGTTCGGATCTGCTAAATCCTGAAGCACGAATCCGAAGCTAACGCTAGGGGTTGGTGATGCCATGTGAGCAGGGGTTGCTCTGTAGTGCAGCAGGTGCAGCAAAGGAACGCCAATACCGGCTCAGGTGCTGGCAATTGCGCACGCATGCAAAGTTGAACACATGCGAAGTTGATCTTCAACAACACTAGCTATGAGCGGCCAAGCCCGCACAAAGCTTGGCCTAAATTCAGCGGTGGGGAGCCACAGCTTTTGGAGCGTTAGACACTTGGGATGTACAGCCGCCATCACCCCAAGCCACAAAACATGACCCACTATTCATGCGTCGGGGAGTGTCAGGTTTTGTGAGTATGGTAGTCCTAGCCAGAACGCCTGAACAAAACCCACGCAATTCAGTCGGCAGGATGTCGTGAAAAAAAGGGAAACCGTTAGCTTGACCAAGGCTGTAAATTGAGTGGGTAGGCTGGGAAGGAATATTAACCGAGGTGTGCAGCACAACACATGTCCCGTGTCTGAAGCCATGAGCCCTAAGCCTAAAGCTTAAAACCGAAATCCTGATCTTCAAAGCAACCTATCGCAATTTTTGACGTTCATCTGTTGTTATCTTTCACATATGCAGTTTTCCCACATGGCCCGAATTTTGGATTTTTTGTTTCGGTTCCCCCGGACTTCATGGGTTCTACTTGTTGCCCACCACTCAGATGATTAAACGGACAGACCCTTTTTCAGCAAACGCTGCACCCTGTAATAGGCGCCTTAAGTAATAAGCCTTCAGCCCATCTGCCTTCTGCGGTATGTTTTTGTTATGATTCAAACTGCGTGAGGGGTTGGTCTGCATTGGGGTGGCTCACGTTCGGCAAGTCTTGACAGCTTTGCCTCCGTATTCCGCTTCGTCCTTTTGATTTGTGGTCGTTTGGTCAGTGGGTTGTCTACAAGCGTTCCCAGAACAATACTGGGCGCGGTGCATGGCTACCCCATGCTCGCCATGCTCCTCAGCAACACCCCTCAAAACAACCCTGAGAAGATTAAGAAATATTCCGGCGAACGCGGTATTGTTGTCCATCACGGCTTCTCTTCTTCAGGCGCCCGATTGTCTCAAGTGAAAATCCCAGGACCTACATCCCGGACATGCCAGAAGAGTATTTCCGAACCGCACCGGCACTTGTTTCGAGATATGGTTGTACTTGCTACAAGTATTCTAGGCAATATTGATGGCGTCAGCAAAGTTGCTGCCACTGCTTGGGCTTAGGGATGTGCAAGGTTCCCACTTCACACAGGAGGCCCTGCCTGTTCAGAATCGCACTGAGTATCAATTCCTGTAAAGAAGTACCTCAAGACAGGGGTAAGACAACATTTTACGTAGGACCCTTCCATACTATACGGAGCCCCAAGACAGGGTAAGACAACATTTTACGTAGGACCCTTCCATACTTTACGGAGCCCCAAGACGGGGTAAGACAACATTTTACATAGGACCCTTCCATACTATATGGAGCCCCAAGACAGGGTAAGACAATGTTTTACCTAGACCCTTCCATACTATATGCAGCCCCGAGACAGGGTAAGACAATGTTTTACGTAGGACCCTTCCATACTATACAGAGCCCAAGACAGGGTAAGATAACGTTTTGCGTAGGACCCTTCCGTATTACACGGAGTCCCAAGACAGGGTAAGACGACGTGTTGCGTCGAACCCTTGCATACTTTATGGAGCCCCAAGACAGGGCAAGACAATGTTTTGCATATGACCGGTAAAAACTATACGGAGATATACTAACAAGCATGCCTAAACCATAGAGGTCCATAGACCCGACGCCCTTGGTTTGCAGCCCTTGCAAGACCTGCTGGCCCCTTCACAATCCAGAGATTTTGTGCTCCCTCTGAACCCAACCCAGAAATGCCCGAGGCTGTCGGTCGTCTTGTAGGGCTTGCAAAGAGGAGCCCGTAGCTTTTCAGAAGACCACAGGCAATTTAGTGTTTGGAGAAAACGTTTGCTTGTCCTGCGAACCCACTTCCTCTGAGCCGTCATCATCGCCGCAAATCCAAGCCCTCACTGCCGGGCCTGAGGCCTAAGCCGCAATCCTGAACCCTGATTTCTTCAAACACAAACCCGGCTTGCAACTATTAATTTACGATGTTGTGGACCATGCTCTTCAATCTACGTGTTGAGACCACTGAGCCGTAGGTAAGGCGTATACACCCTAAGCCCTTGTAGCCTCTCAAGCCTACACGCTAACCCTTCAAACTCAAGAAGCTAAACATTGCCATTGCTGAGGAATGCCATACTCGCAGGCCAAAGCTGACCTCGTCAGGCCGTAGAGCTCCAGGGCCGGTTATATGGGATAAACTGAATATGACGGGTATATTGTGTACATTGCAGTATATTGGCTTTACTGGATATGTTGTGTATACGAGGTGTATTGGGAATAATGGGTAAATCAGGTATTGATGCATGTACTGGGGTCTGAGGTCAAATCCAAGGTGTAGGGATGAAGGTTGGGGTTGTAGGATCGTTTTTTTTTCGGGCTTCTGGATTTGGGGTCGAGCGATGAGGTTTGCGGGTGTAGGGTTGCACGTAGATGATCTCATTTTCAGATCAGTTGGGGTGTGGCAAATCTGCTGGCACTTCATTTTCAACCTTCACTAAACAGCTTCAAAATGAAGGTTTTGTAAGATTTGCGCCTGTTGGGGCTGTTTTGTATGTCTGAGAGTCTCCCTTGCTATCAACATGCAATCCTGTAAATGAAGTCCTGATCCATGGCACCTTTCGCAACACTTGAACGCTTTGCGCTACATATCGTGGACTCAGGTTGAACATGAAGCTGTACCTTGAGGTTAGGATCCAAAAGCCCAAAAGATATAATTTGGCCTCGAAGTACTTATCCAGGAACGCCTCAGGGCCCAACAAATCTGTATCAGACTCTTAAGGCTAAGTTCCCGCTGCTGCGCCTTTCCTGTCCTCTATGCTGGCAGGTATGCCGTGTTATACCATCACGGCGGCATCTACATGGACACGGACATCTTAGTCGTTCAGGACTCCGTAGGTTGTATTTAGGAGCAGCAAGTATTGGAGAGTGTAATTGTTGTTCCTGCATGGCCTACATTGGGCCTAGAATCCTCGTAGCCTGCATTTGCACAACTCAAGCAAAGACAGCCACTTATTCAGCCTTTCTCTTCCGACTTGTATCCCTCAAGCTAAACTCTAATTAAGCCCTATAATTGCTAAACCCTGAGACGTTGGTCTTAAATCCTGGACCTCACACCTTCAGCCCTACTTCCCGAAATTCTATGCAATAAAACCAAAACTGTTGCGAAGGATTTGGATGCAGTTGTAGATCTGATCCAATCTTATGACCTGCTGTCCTACACGGATGCAGCCGCCTGGTTTTTGCAGGGGTTCGAGCATTCAGGGTTTGAGGTGTGAGGTAGAGGTTCTATGGGTCTATATGAGATACCCAAAAGTTCAGGTTATGAGCAGTTTACGGAATCCGGAAAGACACTTTTTCTAATTTGGGTGCCTTTCGGATCCCGCAAAACGCTGCCACGGCAATAGCTGCAAGGGGTCATGAATGCAGCGGGCTGGGAAAGGCTCTCGGAGCCGAATCAGGATCACCAAGTTGATGCCATTCAGAACGTTAATAAACTTCACGCATGAAGTTCCTATGGCTGACTTGGTCCTAAATCTTCCTGCGTGACACGATGGTCCCGATAAAGCAAATTGCTAGATCATAATGATCTGTTTGCCAATGCGATTCCTCTGTGACAAGGTGGGATTCCGCAAAACCCTGCAGAATAATTGGACAATTTTCTAGAAAAGCTTAACCCACTAGGTTCCAAACGGGCTGAATGTTCGTAGAACCCGACCCTGCCATTTCTGTGCAAGCCGAAGCTAAGTCTGCGGAAGTCAAAAAACGTCTGTAACCGTGTCTATCTTTCCATATGTTCTTGCTAGTCACGACGTGACTTCCCCCCTCTCCCCCTCCTTAGCCTTCCCGGGAGCCAAAGAAACAGGTACATCGGAAAGTCAGCCGGGTGGCAAGCGTTTAAAATTAAAAATATGATTCAAATTATTGTTCTGAAAAACTGGTGCTTGCAGTAGTTTGGGCTGATACATCTCACAACACGAAGGTACAACAACGGACCTGTCTAGCTAATGCTGGGAAGGGGATTCCGTTGCCAAATAGCAGCTAATCAAAATGTTGTTTCACACTCTGGGTCCTTGTAATTGCGGTTACAATCCATTCAGGGGCACACCACTGTTGAGAATTCGTCATCATTCATCATGAGATCCCAAGATCCTATGTTCTGATAACTAAGAGACATGCGTGTCACCCCCACAGCCACAGGATTGTGCGTGTTGACAAGTAGTCCCAACGCCCCCTACACTGGTAATTATTGGTACTGATACTTGACAAAATCTGGCGCCAGCTTTTTGGGTGGGCGTCCGTGACTGAGGTTGACGTTTCTGGAGGTCTGTAGGGGAACGTGAGTTCTGATAGCTGCCGCAGTCGACCTTGTTTGGAGCGCGTGCCCAGTTGTCCAAGCTCTCACCAAATTAGGTTACCTGAACTTTAAACAAGGTTTCGGAGGAACATCTAGGCAACAATTGGGTACATAGGGATAAAGTTGGAGTTCTTGGACCGAAGTCTACCTACACCCCGAACCAAACAAGGAAAGCAGTGGCAGCCTGGAGAACGGTGCCTTGGGTGTTTCTTTTCAGTAAGACCTGTTGGACTTCACCGCAATGTTATACAAGGTCTGAGTACCTATGTAATCAACAGGTTGGGCATGACAATGTCCCAATGTGAATACCATGTAGGCTGTGTACCCTCCACGTTTGACTCGCCCAGCAGCTATCAAAACCTAGAAGCGCACCTTCAAGGTCCGGCTTGCGCAGACATACTTAGTATTTGCTTTGCAACCCAAATACCAGTACCCCGAGTGTCATTCCTGGGTCGACATTGCTAAAGATCGGAAGAGATTCCCTGGATAATCAACGTGATCATCTTCCTTTCAATCATAGAAGAATACCATCAAGAATTTTCAAGTTGTTTCGGCCTTGAATCTGGACTGTATCTAGGCCTTCCTCCATCTACTTAAGGAGGACCATCGTTGCGAGTTGTCGCCTTTTCTTGAACGGACCCTCTCTGAGCGAGTGTGCTGCCACTGGTGAATTGTTAGCCCGAATTACTGGGCTCCCCAAACAACCTGGTCCCTGGGGGAGTTTCTCCAAATGGGATCTGAAAATTTTGTAGGACATTCACGAACCCAAACTTGGGCACACGTCTTTGTTTCTGCTTTCGACGATCTGGATGCAAGTAATTGCCTTCGGGTTTAACCTGCGAGGTAGATGGTTTCTCTTTTCTTCAGAGGCAGGTCGCGTTAGAGAAGCTTCGGTAGGCCAGCTCCTTTAGACCGAAGTGTCCATGCCTAAGTATACATCCAACGCCCTTGTCAAGTACGCAACATGTGTGCCCTTGGATTGTTAGGGTAGGATGGTGCTGGGTGGGGTTTTGAATGTACATGTCTAGAGCACGGGCACTTCAATGACCCCCAGGGTATTGCGTGCTCTATGCAGGTCTAGAACTTGGACGCTTAACCATTTGATGTAAATTCCGAAAGTTACGTGACACGCAACATGCGTCTGCGCGCTCCTTCACTCCTTCTACATGATTTTCGCATCACAGAGGTCTGAACATTCATTTTTGAAGATATCTTTTAAAGTTTGAGGTTTAGGAACTAGCTGCTGAAGTCAGGGTACCTACCTTCGGGCTATGAGGTTGCCAACAATATTCGGCTTCGTGGCACAGGCTGGCCTTGAGTCCTTGATTCCAAAACAGGATAGATTTTGCCTATCAGGTGTTAGGTGTTTTGATGTAGTTTCCGAGTTTCTGAGCCCTTCCCCTACTGAATCCAAATGGTGCTGATGATGCGGATGGAAGAACCATCTGCAGAATTGCGGACTCGTCTTGGGATGCTTAACCGAAAAACGGTAGCCTGTGAAACTAGTTCAGGTGCCTGTCCCAACCAGTTCAGCTCCAACTTTGTCGCTTCCAGTAGCTTGGCAAGGGCTATGGGGTTTTCGTTTTGGGAACCATCGAAGGCTGAGGGTTGGTTGTTGGGGCTTTGGATCCAAGGCTTTGGGTGAATGTGGCCTGCGAATTTGGGACTGCAGAACCTGGAATTTTGAACTCGATTGCAAAGACAGTAGAGCAACCCGAAGTTCTCCTAGGCTGTTACCTGGGAGCTTCTCCAAAGTGCTGTCTCCGCTTTCGGCCCTATGGATCGTCTTTTTCAAAGGGGTAAAACAGGCGACGTCAGTTGTGAGGAGCAGGTAAATATGTTTACCTTACATCTTACGAGGTTTCAAGGATCTTGATGCAATCTCGAGCAAAGGAACGTGCGCTTCATGTGGCTGACATGCTCAGGGGCTCGCGGCTTTAATTGTAGAGAGCTACATGCTCCTGAACGTCCCTTTCGTCCTGTCTTCTATTATTCTTTTGGTTTCGTCATAGAGTAAGCTATCCACCATGGCTTTAAAACTCTAGACACCAGTCCAACATCCGTACTCTAAAGGTATTTGCCCTGCCTCTTCATTGCTGATTACCTAGATGAGCCAAGGAAAGGGCAGCATCTTCATGATACTTGGCTTTGTTTGTTGCATGTTTGTGCCGGATTAGCACCCTGAAAGGGAAAGAGGAGTTTGTGGCTGGGGGGCTCTCTCAACATTAGGAGGCCATGGATTGTGGATGTTTGGCCAGGACGTTGCAACTTGAGAAGTGTTTTTAGCTGCACTTTCCTTATAGGAGTTGCAAATCCCCGACATAATGCTTGAATGTTCCTTCGATCATCCCAGAAAATCCCCAGTTCATCCCCCGGTAATGCTTGTGTCATGCTTGCACAACGTCGACCTCGAAAAAGTGAGGTTGAGGGGTCCTTCCTACGGTTTAGGGTTAAGGCCTCAACCTTAAATCCTCAGCTCTGGCGTTGCGCAGGTCCCTGGAAACTTCTGCGCAAACGTGGCCTGTAGACAGACATGGGCAGATTTAAAGCCTTAGGATAAGTCGCACGTTGACCCGAACAAGGTGTTCATCAACATTGTAATAGGTTCTTGTTCTGTCGATCCTGTCAAACCTCAAGTGTCCAAGCTCACAAGAACCGCATATTCTCCCAAGTTCATACCCACAGCTAGCCCAGCAATGCCTTGGCATTCCTCAAGTTTGCTATTCACCCAGACTGCCAGTGGATTGATGCAAGTCCCACGCATCCGACCTCCAGAACATCCCGGAATAATAATGCCCATCTGCAAGTGCATCCGATTCCCAGAGCAGGCCCAAAACGCAATAATGTCCTGACCCTGTTCTCACCTCAGGCAACCTCCGTCAGTAAGGGACCTAGCTCTGTTTTTCTATGGAAATCTTCTGAGGTCCTACAGAATCCTGGACTTTGGTTCGCATGGCCCATATGAGCTACGAGCTAAACTTGTAGCATGTCGTCTAGGAGGTGCCCTTACGGCCCTTATGCTTCTACACGACTTTTGTCCGTAGCTTATATTACACGATGCTGAGCTGAGGAAAGAGGTTTGGAAGCGCCAGAAGTCACCAATCTCAACAGCGTTGGTTCTTCAATATCCCCATGCACGCCGTACTCCATTATGCCCCATCATACCCCAGTATCCCGCAGTATACCCCCTTATATGGGGCAAGGCCAGGCGTGAAGGGATTGGGATGAATGGTTGAGGCTTAGCTTCGTAGTGGAAGATTCTGCGAGTTTTACTCATTTGAGGTATATGTATGTATGTATGTATGTACGTATGTATGTATGTATGTATGTATGTATGTATGTGTTAACCATGCACTTGCCTGTGATCACTTAGGTGAGTCATGACTTGATGTGCTTGTGGCGTAAAGGACTGGTGTGGATGCAACTTAGGAACACCTGGGTGTGCCTTTGTCTGTTGTGACGTGGAAGACCTCAGTTACTTTTTCCATGGTAGCGGAGTTGAAAGCTCCCAGGAATCCAATGGCACTTGCAGGAGATGATGACTCCTTCACAGAGAAGCTTGGGCTTCCACTTCCGCCAAGCTTTTCATGTAAGCTCCAGTACTGGGAAGAGTGGTCCTGGATTTTCAAGGCTTACTTAGCAGTGTTTGATGCCCAGGCAGCAGCGTTTCTGGATGCGCATGAACTTGAACCTTTGGAGGTGACAGATGAAGACTTGAATGTGTCAGTTTTTGATGATCAACGTGTGACTTCAGTTGACAGAGCTGCAACAGCAGTTCGTGTGACTTTTATAGTCGAAAGTTGCATTACTTGTTTGCGAAGTTGACAGTTGATGCCGCTCGACTTCGGGTTCGTCAGAACTATGTTCGCATGGTTTTGAGGCGTGGCGTCGCTTGGTGAAGAAGTTTGC